CAACTGAGCCACCGTGCCGCCACATTAAATTCCAGTGAAATATATTTATGTTTGTGGTTGTAATGTGACAAAATATGGAAAAGTTCAAGGGGTATGAATACTTTTGCAAACCACTGTAAACAGAGCGTTGCTAAAATGGCTAACAACACAGGCTGTAGAGAAGAATCTGATGTTTCTGTAAAATATTTTTATCACTATCATAGAGAGATGAGAGAGTCGTAGTTCAAATAATATTGTTTTAAATAAACTAAAACCAGGAAGTTTTCTTTCTCAGAGTTTCCCTTTGATGTCACTTCCTATTTCATTTTAGTTGAGCAAAATTCAAAAGAAAATAAGCCAATTATGTGACATAAAGGGTAAAATCTTGTGTATTATGCCAAGTTTCTTCAAGATAAATACATAATTTCTTTGACTTTTTATATTTCATGGATATGCATGTCACAGGCACTTTAACATCGGTATCAGTCCGATAAGCAACACTGGGCCAATATTATATATTATATTATTAACATTCAACATTCATTTCCCACGTTTTAGCTTTGTGTTTCTGTTTTGGGAGGGGGATGGTTGGGCGGGTGGTCTTTGTTTAATCATGACAGTAGAGAAGTATGGCAGCGCTGTGGTCATTTATTTACTTTGTATGTGTATAAATAATTTGTGTTTGTGTAACATCGGTTATCGGTCATAACACCAATAATATCAGATCCATATCAGCTGAAATTTTCACATTGATTTAAATGTCTGAGAGTAAAAATAACAACTGTTTCTGTTCTGAAGGAATCTGCAGCTCAGTTTAAGTTTCCTGACCGTTTTTTTTTTTTACATTTTTCTGTTTAAATAAAAAGGCTCCGCCCCCAAAAATGCATCTGCTCTGATTGGTTAGCTCCAGTGGTCCAATCAGAATTTTGAATTTTATAAAAAATTAACACTTTTCCTGAATTTAAATTGACTCTTTTTAAATTTATTTGTTGGTTGAACTCATTGTTTTATAAAACTAAATCAGCGATATGTGATTTTTATTTATTTTACAGAAGAACTGTCCTAAAGAGGTTCAAACACAGAAATCTTTCTGAATTCTAACAGAATATTTTCGTCAGAACATGTCAGACAGAAACCAGAATCCTGGTTCAGTTAAATCAAACACAAAAAGCTGAACAGTAACAGCTTGTTGTTGAACTGAAGTGTTTTTTTAGTTTAAGAGGGTTTTTGTTGTTTGCAGGAAAGCCATCGCCAAGTCCAACCTGCAGTCGGTTCAGCCCAACGTGTCGACGTCCGGCCAGATGGACTTTCTCCAGCCCAGCAGTACTGTGGACTGGACTGTGAGTACCGCCACCACCACCACCACCACCACCATCATCATCATCATCATCATCATTATCATCACGAGCAGCAGAGTTCAAACAGAACCAAGAGTTTTATACAGAAACCACCAGGGTCCAAACTGACTTTGGACCAGAGATTATGGGCCCAATTGTGGGCCACGAGCACCACCTTGAGGGCCTCAAAAGAACAACAGTTTTTAACTTTGGGCCACAGAGGGCCGTGGGACCTCAATGATTTTGAATAAGGTGTAATACACTTTCTCACCACTAGTAGCAGTAGTGCACCACTCAGATGTTTAACAACTTTTTTAATATGTAGAAGAAGAAACTTAGATACTGAAGATAATGGAAACCTTTTTTAAAATGAAAAGTAGAAGCAAAAATTAAGGCAATATGTCAAAAAATGCCAAAGTTTGTCACTAATATGAAGAGCAGCTTCTGGTTCTACCATGAAATATTTAAAAAGTTCAAACATTATCAAAAACAGCTGCAGATATGGTTATATTTTAATTTGCACTTCAAATTATTTTTTGTAGTTTATTTTTAAACATTTTGAATGTATTTTAAAGAAACTTTAAAC